AAGGCAAACTTGATAAGATAAAGATTAGAAATAGAAATAATTTATTTGACTTATCAAGATTTTTATTTTACTAAATTTTGTACAAAGTTGAATTTATATAATAAAAATTGATAAATCAGAAAACTTTGACTTAATATAATTTTAGCTTAGTATAGCTTTATCTTAACAAGTTTGTCTTGTAATAGTTTAAAAACAATTTACAATATATTTTTCAAGATGATATATTTTAATATATAAAGCAAGAATAATTAATCAATAAAAGAAAAAGAATTTGATATTTAAGTTTTTTATAATTTACACATAATTCAAATCTTAATCTAATTAAATATCTGTAAAATATTTTGAAAAGAAATATGAATCTTATTCAAAAAAATATTATGAAATTAATAGAAATTTTGAAAGAGAAATAAAATATAATTGAGCCAGAAATTTAGTTAAAAGTTTGTCAAGAAGAGTTCAATCTATATTAAATAGTATGAAAATCCAACTAGATTAATAAATTCAAGTTTTTCTAAATAAAATAATATAAATTTTTATAATATTTATTTATAAATTTTTAAGAAATTAAATATTAAAGTTTGTGTATTTTTATCTGATTTTAAAATAATTGAATACTTTGATCAGAAAGTGTATATATATATATAGTAGCAAATATATATATTAATAATAAAAGCAGTTTTTATAATATATATAATAATATTTTTATCAAAAATAGTTATTTAATATTTTAAGAATATTATTAATAGTCAATATTTAATAATAGTTACTGTATGCATATATTTTTTATAATAATTAATATTTAATATTATATAGTTAAAGTTATTATAATAATTCACTTTGTAGTTATTATTATTAAATAATTTACTTATTAATAATAAATGTTTTATTAATATTTTTCATAATAGTAATAATATTGAAGATCATAATTAATATTTGATATAGTGAGAGATAGCATAAGATATCCAATGTAATATAAAAAGTATTATAATTCAAAAACAAATAATTTTAACAAAAGTTTTTTATAAATTTGTTAATTTTTGTCTAAGCTATAATTCTGTTAAAACAGATTTTTTGTTAATTATAATTTTAAAAAGTTATAACACTTTAAATTTTATATGTAATTGAAAATTTGGCATTTATTATATAAAAATAAATATTTATATATTTAAAAATTTTTTTAATTTCTTCTGATTGGTCAGTTTAATTAATATGTATAAGATCTGAAATAATAATTGATGTTTTGGTGTAGTATTGGATATCTTATGCTGTCCCTCACTGTAGCTATACTTTCCGAATTTTGTTGTCTCACTCTTTATTTGTATTTTATCTGTTGTCTCTATTAACCATTGTGTCCTTTTTAACAACTTATTATTACCCTCCAGAGACCAAAATCAGAAGATTGAAAAGAACGACCTGTCACTGCTCTAAAAATTGGCTTAATATTAGATCAAAAACCCCCCAAATACCTATATAATATAAACACTTACCATCATTAGTGATTCCTGTAGAGAATTTATCTGCATAAAAAGGCGAGTTCTTGACCTTTAGACAAGAACAGGACAACTAAAACTAAAGTTATGAACTCGTAAATATTTTTGCTTGTAGATATCTTTTTTTGTTGTTATTCGCCTTTAAATCTTGCGTACAAATGGTTTTTATTTCTTTTGTGCCGAACATAAATTGATAGTGTAAGAACTCCACTCTAAAAAACCATATTTACTTTTAATATTCTTGTTTGTTGGCATTAGATAAGTCCAATCGTTGAATTCGCTTTGTGCCTCATTTGATCTGCTTAATGCCTAGTTGAATTTGCTTTGTGCCTAATTTTTTTGAGGGGTTAGTTTGTTGGCCGCGTTAAGTCAACTCTTCTTATGTATTGTTGGTAGTGAGCAGTAACTACCTGTATTTCATAGGAATTCCATGAATTAGTAACTCTTGTCTCGAGTCCCCCCTTCAAACACATTACATTAGATCCCCTTTCATTCTCGTAAATAGTAGTTTTTGTAAAAACTATCGTAGGAGACCTTCAGAACGAATAGAGAACCTCTCTTATCGTAAATCATTCAGTCCTAGCTCTCCACCATTGTGTTGCGCCTTACTTTCTTGAGATCTAACTAACATAACAATTTAGTATAGTAACTATGAACATTAATTAATCTCAAAAGCATTAGAACTTTTTTCCTAAGACTTTTCATGTTTGTTTTTTTAAATGAGATATTACTGTTATATAACTATATAAAGATGAGTAGTCTCTATTAAGTAAATTCTATTTAAACGGATTACAGACGCTACCAATAATCTTTTCTTTATCTTTCACGAAATAATAACAATTTGTTGAATTATCACACAAACGATGAAAATTGAAATTCTTAAATCTATTACGACTACCCCGTAATAATAATAATTTCGATTGATTTCTGTTCTTATGCTTATTTCTTGAATTTTAATCCATCATTTTATTACTGACTGGGTTAGGTTAATATTATGTTCACATTCTGACACCAAAGAATGATCCATAAATCTTATAGGCAAAACTTCAGCATAGGACATGACATTGTTATAAAAATCAACAGAATTATGTGAAAGAAACGTAAGAAATAATGATTGAACGTTATCAACGATAAACTATTTTTTTTTACTTTTTTCTAAATATACTTTCTAAGCTAATAGCATACTTAAGTTTAATATTGTACCGAGCGATAAGTCAATCAAGCAGGACAAATACGATGTTATAAATTGATTAAATTCGTTGTGTACATTTTTCCAATGGAATAGCGAGACCAATTTTGCAGTATCTGCAACTTCCATTCTAATACTTTTCCCAAAGGTCAATTTTATTTAAATCTAGATCATCACGCTTAACGACGTAGAGTTACAAACCGAATTTAATTATAAATTCGAATTTGATACACCCAAATAATGATTTGTTAATGGAGTGATACCTTTTTGAATATTTGCACTAACTATCTAAGAAGCTTCAAAGCACGTCATTTCACATAAAAACGATTCATAAAATTTGAATCACTAACGCTACATACATGTATGATGATTATCTCTATCAATATTATTTCAAGCATATATCAACAGAAATACATTTTATAGTGAACTCAAATATAAAATCGATTACTCGTGATTCTATTAAATGTTATTTGTATCAAAAGGATAATGAATGTTTAGTTCACAATACTTTGTAATTGTAGTAAATGCTACTATTGTCAAAGAAATAGAACTGCTCTGAATCTTACAAACGAATTTATAATGAATTGTAAAAATCAATAATCTAATAACGATAAAGATGCTAAAAATTAATAAATTATGAATTTCTTTTAAAGATTTTATCGCGCAAACGGAAATTCTATAAAGCAAAATGGTTGGATAAAAAATCAAATTGAGCATTGGGTTATGAAGAAAATAAATTTAACAATATGGAGAAATAGAAGTTGTATTGAATCAATACACAAATTAATTCAGAGTTCAAAATAAGAACATTTTCTGTGAAAGTTCTTTTGTTTTCTGCTTTTCAAAAATAGATTCAGACTGCTATGCTATAATAATGGGAGTTTTTATTATTACATGTATTTCGGAATAACAAATACATGTACAAATGAATAGATGATCGGAAAATTTAAATTCGAATCGAAATAAAATCGAATTGATTAACTACAGTATTAAGATCATAACCGGATTTAATTCGAATCCCAAATTGCATCTCTCATTACATGTACAATGACGAGTTGCGATTATGCATGTGCGTCAAATAAGTGACATGTATTTAATGGCGGACTCTCAATAAGGAGTTTTTTTCATGTTCCAAAAAGCATATTCAAAACAGCACGACTCATCCAAGATGCATTCTTACATGTGAGAATTATAATCACACATCTTTATCGTTATGGATAAATATTCATTATCGTTATACTTTGCCAGGGGAATGTTGTAAATTATGATTCATGCACACTTAGTGATCTCCCACATTTTTCTTATAAATAATGCCTCATAAGTCTCCTCTTCACAAAATCAAAGAATTCTAAAAAAATAAAAATTTCCAACTTAATTATTATCTCATATATCTTCTCGTAATTTTTTACCCTTAACCATTGGACTTGCAATTAGAGCATTGTCTCTGATTTACTTACAGCCATCGAAAAGCGGAAACGTGGAGATCCTCATCAATGAAACGTTCGGGTAAGCTTTACCATATTATTGGTGATTTTAAATTTTTAAATATACAATACGCCGACACTTATAATTGCTAGGCGCCATGAAGAATATCATTTATTGTGATTAAGTTTATATAAATATCATGCATAAAAATATTTGATCAGAGGAGACCCTTATATTAATAACGATAAGTGTTTTAGTATATTGTACTGACATATTTGGGTCTTTAAAAATTTACATGTATTTTCTAAAACTAGAAAATTAGGCGCACTCAATAAAAAAAAGTTTGATACATGGATGTGTTACAGTCGGTGTTTAAAGTTTGTTTTGCCGATAAGAAATTTCGAAATATGCATGATTGTTGTATTTTGCTCTTTTTGAAAGCATCTAGTCTATTTAAGAATATTCATAAAACAGTTAAAATTAAATAGAACAATGAGATGCCCATATTTTTTTAAAACATACATGTGTGACAAGTTATCATTTTATTACTTTTATTAAATTTATATCAAAATATAACACCCGGTTATGGAGTTCTTGAATAAGACCCCTGGTCTTGTATACAGTACTAATTGACATCTTCAAGAATTGAGGTTTGGAAGAAGGGGAAACTGTTTAAGTTTTCAATTGTTTGAATATTAATTTTCGAAACTAGTAGAGAAAGGGGCACATCTATAAGTGAATAATAAAGGTTGGAGAAAATAGAGCATTCGTTCGATTTAACGATGTTACGATGGATGAACGACTTTGTGATAATAACAATAAAGACCCGATGGTTGTTACAATTCGAATAATCTAAATTATTGTTATTCATATCGATATGATTAGTTCTATGAAAATTAGTTTGAATTTGATATTCGCTTTGGGACGACATGAAAAACTTCATAATTTTCAACTTTAAAATTCTGTTTCTTTCGATTATTCCCTTCAATAATACTATGTTCAAAATTACAATGCCTATACCAACATGTTGCGTTAACATTACACTTATTCCCGATAAATAGGTCACCGTAAAAATATGGTCCATAAAAAGGATGAAATCCGATTGTTTGATCGCTATCAACACGACGAGAAAATTTAGCCGATGTAATATCTCGAGATTTTTCAAACGAGAAAATGATAGTGTCTGAGTTGAAGATATGTTGTTCATTGTTAGGATAAAGGTATGCATTCATACTGTCTGCAATGTGACCTCCCCAATGACTCGGATTATATCCACCCATTACTCTGTCTGTTCCATTTATCTTTGCTATGGCTACGACCACTGTATTAGTTACATGCGCACAAAGTTCTCTGAATTTACTCGCTTCGAATCCGTCACGGCTACCTCGAAAAATCAAATTAAATTCATAAGGATTTTTTCGTTTTACCTCTCCTGACGTTTCTTGTCTATCGATCCACAATGAAATTAGAGCTGCTTGATCGGAATTGATTATAACCGAAGGAATTGCCGACCTTGAGGGCAAAACGTGTTCTGGTAATCGATTATTATTATGAAAAGCTAAGATTTCTGCTACGATATTCTTTGGCAATATTTGTTCGTATAACGCCACTTTGTCAAAGTAATCTTCTCGAGAAATGTCATAATATCTAATTAATGGTAAAAATTGATGCAGCGTATCTGCAAGAGCTAGGAAATCTGCTGCCACCCACTTAGACACGTCTTGTTCCTTTAGATGCGCTGTATTAGATATACCCCAGTCGATAATCGAATTCCATACTTCGATTTCTTCCATTCCCAAATCTTGTCTTTTAAGCAGCAAGATAAGCTCCGATTCCTCCAACGAGAAAAAATCATCAGATCGAAAAATGAAATGCGGGCTTTCAGCAAGAATCCTTGACGAATAATTTTTCAACGTCTTAAAACTCTCATGCAAATTTGCTGCATGTAAAACGGTCACAATGTTTTCTTCGAGCCAAGAAGATTTACTCTCTATCAGATGCGTTTGCGCGTAATTTATCAATTCGTTTATTTCTAGTTCGTCTGCGGCGACTAATAATTCAAATACATCCGAACCAACTTGATCATCCAAGTTTACAACACCTGTATACATGTATCTTCAAAATAAAATACACACATCATTAATCAAGATTTTCCTTTTTGATACAAAGAATGAATATTAAAAAGCATACTTTAGAATCAATGCAAAAACTTTTGGCGTTATATTCGGTTTCTTAAACACAAAAGAATTGCCATCTTTTTTAGCCCAGTCTCGAGATAATGCAACTCGAAAATATGGAGAACGCGCACGCAATATTAGAGAATGTGCTTGAAACTCTCTATAATTTGCTGGATCGCCAACACCGATTACAATATTATATTCATCAGAATGTTCGAGGATTCCTGCCAAATCACGAATTAAATTTTTAGTAAATTCGGGCATGCTTTGTTATCGATGTTTTCTTAACAGATGTAGAGCAATGGCTTCGTTCTTTTTTATATTGATTTGGTCTGCAAACACAACAGAGTTGATCATCATTATCTCTATTACATCTAATGATTAGATACATGTGGGTGTACTAAGTCGCAGCATTCAATATACATGTATTAATAATAAAAAAGAATTTTCAAAATATACCATATTTTACCGAGGCAATTATCCGGTGTAAGGTGGCGGCTATACGACAAATATTAATTTTCATGTTTGATACGTACCCGGGTACCTATTTAAGGGTATAAATCAAGAAATTTAGCTCTTAATTATTGTATAGTAATAGTATAGTTAAGATCTTAAATGTATAGCATTTCTAATTCTATTTATTGAATGTTACTAAATCTAGTACATGTACGTTATACATGTACATGTAATAGATAAATTCATATCAAAATATGTTGAAATTTTGTAAGTTTAATTACAATTTAATTCTCTAGATAAATAACTTAAGAAATATAACATAGGAAAAGTAAAAATCTTATTCAAAATTAGGAGATATTATAAATAGTTCAAAATTTAAATTATCAAAATTTAAATTAAATGAATTAGCTTAGTAAAAATATCAATTAACTTACTGTTAATTTATATATAATATTATTTATGATTAATTAAATACATATTTCATCACATAAATTTTTATTTTTTTAATAATATTTTTTATTTTTAACTCAAATGAAGTTCTTTAATTTAATATATTGTTTCAGATTTTTCAAACTTTTACTAAGAGTTGTTCTAAACTAATAAATTTTATTAATTAACGTATAATTAGAATAAATCTTTCAGAAAATTATATCAAAATAAAGCATGCTAGCTATATTTGAATTAAGAATGATATATTAGTTTAAATAAAATTTTATATAAATAAAAATATTATTTATTATTATAATTAAAAAAATTCAATCATTTCATTATTTTAATTATTATTATAGATATATGTTATATTTTAAAGATATAGATAATACAGTGATGACAAAAAGTAATGCATCAGGAACTAAATTTATTAATAAAACATAGTGAAAATTGAAAGTTTCTCTCTATATTAAGATTTATAATTTTATATATAAATTTTTTTCAGATTTTTTCTGAAAGAGTTGTTCTAATTATAAAGTCAGTATAAAAATTTTTATTAATTAAATTTCATTTTTAATTAGTAAAAATTTTTGCATTGACTTTATAATTAGAATAACTCTTTCAAAAAATATATGTTAAATTATAACTGATAAACTTGATTTTGATATAAAATTATAAATTATTTTTTAATAAAATTAATAAAATTATAAATCTTAATATAGCAAGAAAATTTCAATTTTCACTATGTTTTATTAATAAATTTAGCCCTGATACATTACTTTTGGCCACTATTGTATATTATTACAAAAATATTAAAATTAAATATCAAGCTAAATAAGCAAAATATTTAAAAAATAAAAAATTTTAATTCTTTAAATATTAAGCTTTTAATAAAAAAAATATATATAGTAATCTTTGAAAAATTAAATTCATAAATTTTAATAAATCAAAATTATTCAATTTATACTTCTCAAATTTTTTATTTATTAAATATAATTAAGTAATTATTATATATATATCAAATAAATTTATTTTACTAATACAAATATTACTAATAAAAAACTTTTATAAAATATAAATAAATTTTATTATTAAATTTTTAATTAATTAATCTTAATAATATTATAATGTTATGACAAATTGGTAAGTGAATTTTCACTTGAATTTACCTTAATGATATAGAGTTGGAAGAGACTGAAATAATTAAAGAGTGAAGAGAAAGAATTAAATTATAACATTCAATAATAACAAAGATTTCTAAGATCTGTGCCAATATCCATGGATATTATTTTAAAGAGAATAATTAAATAAAAAAATAAATAAATAAATCAGAGAAATTATAAAGATTAACTGAGTAAAGCCACTAATAATTAATATAATTCAAGATTTGAATTAATTAAATAGCAAGTTATTAATTAAAGAAAACTATAACTAATAAAAAATAAAAACTAAATATGTAAACTAAATAACTAAATAAAATAAAAGAGTATGACTTATTTATAGTAAAGATTTTCTAATCTCAAAAATAATAAAATAAAAAGTATAGCTTATTTATAGTAGAAATCTTTTACTCTCAAAATAATATTAAAT